TGGAGAAAACATATTTTTTATTAAAGTTATGTACTGCAGCTTGAATAAAATGCGACTACATAGAAGTTTAATTGAGTCTGGATTGCTTCATGTATATTTTGCACATTGCTTTTGACTGTTGCTCATGGGGAGAGACATCAGTAATCTAAAACTAATGGAACAAATTTAAGCAACCTACTTGCAGATGTGGACTGTTGGATGTTAAATTCATGAGCAGTAAATATTGTGCTAGTATCAGAATTGAACCAAAGAAAGCAAGGCAGATGCAAGCCTTTAAAATTGTGACACTTTTTATGGGTTAAATAGACTCAAAAAATTGTAACAGCTGCTGCGTGGGGGGGCCCAAACAAATTTTTTGTCAGGGGGCCCACGATTCCTGGCGGTGCCCCTGCCTGGGTGTAACCTCTGCTTACCTCAGCTGAAGCCAGTTCCTGCACTGATGCAGCACATCCTTCTGCTGCTGCTGGCTCCTGAGTTTCCTGAGTCCATGCCTGAGTTTCCTGAGTCCATGCCTAAGTTTCCTAGTGCCTCCCCTGAGCCTCCTAGTGCTTCCTCAGAGTTTCCCACAGCTCCTTTCGAGTCCCCGCCTCCAAGCGCTCCTTCAGAGACTCTGCCTCCCTGTTCTCCCTCACCACCAACACCACACATCATGACATGATTTTCTCTACCATGCCATAAGTGCAGTCTCCCCCTTACATCAGATCTAAAAGCATACAAAAATCTAGATATAAGGTTTTTTTGTGCATGATGGCTACATGATGGTGGGGCATTTTCTCCATGGTTACTAACGATTAGATGTGTGCCTTCCCCCAAATACAGTGTTTGACTGCATCTTACTAATCATACTTATGAAGTTTATGAAAGTTAATCATCTTACACTGAAGGCTGCCAGTTCCTACGACTGAAAGCTGCCATCCATCACCACCTTCTTTCCTCATCAAAAGGTTTATAATAAAGTGACAAGTTTGCATTGCATCCTTGTCTGTTTGCATGGCACCTCGGAAATAAATACACTTTGGGGAAAACATTGTTTGATAGTTCACAGTATTTTTCTTTTGTGATTTTATATAGTTTTTATATAAATTCCACAGTGTACAGTGTAGCTTAGTAGTTCTATTTCGTATCGGTTTCGCCCTTTAAGGCTATCGCTAGTAAGTTTATCCCTCGCGCGCAACGCAGCATTGAAAAAAGCTTAATCCACGCCCACCTACTGGACCCACCCCAGTCTGAATAATTGACGGTCAGACCAGACAAACGGCTCCCTCTTTTTCTTCAGCGTACGAGCACAGGATATCAGCCCGAACCATCCGGGACCGACCAGTTGCAGGAACCTCGGAGAAAAGCTAGGAAATGACTAGTTGGGGGGGAATGTGTGTGATAATGTGAAATGTTTTGAATTAAAACACAAACATATCGCTGAGAGCAAAATTCCTGCAGGTTCCAACTCTGTCAGATCAGCTGATCTTACAGCAGCTTCCTCGCACACATTCCCCACACACAGCGAGCCGGCGGCCTCTAGACAGCTGTTTAGAGAGACTGTTTTTGTTATATGCGAGCAGATGCTTCATGTTGGTGGTCTGCATGGACCCAGTGAGGCATAGACTACAGCCTGCTTCACCTTTAACCCACTAGCGATAGCCTTAAAGGTCGAAGCCTATACTCATGGAATCTGGGGTTCCAATACATAACCAATGATTTGTAAAGTGAAATCAACAATATTAGGCGACAAAGTCTCTGTTTTTTGACAAGTTTCGCAGAGTTAGTCTGTTTTGACATCATCCGTCCTGGGGAGTGAGACGCTTTCTGAAGAGCGTAACGTCACATACAAAGACTCATTTAATCCAAGAGATTAAATTTTGTTCACGCAAATGAACCATCTTAATACACCACAGTTAGTTGTGGGGTACCACATGGTTTAGTGCTCAGGCCAGTTGTGTTTAGTAGCTACTGAGTGACAATTTTATGAGGTTACACCCTGGTAATAATGAGTTGAACCGTATTTCTCTAATTGCTCCTGACGAAGGTTTCACAAAATGTCAGAGACATTCCTCTCAGATATTATTCTGAGAAATTACATCATGTAGTTACTGCTAAAATTTTCAGCAGCAGCACATCCTAATGAAAACCTCCTGATGCATTACATCCCAGAGTTGGTCCATTAGAGTGACATCTGGAAGACACATGATGAGTTCAGTGGAATCATTGCTCTTATGTTATGCTTGATAAATCAGTTTGAGTTGATTTCATTCTTTCGTCATGGTGCTTCGTCCAGCAGGAAGCAGCCAGCTACACTGTGGTCATGAAATAAATGGACATGGTTAGCAATGACTCAGGTGACTTTTAAAATGACAATATATTCCAATGCACTGTATGTAATTACATATTAATGTGAATATAGTTGATGGAATGAATTGGAAATCGCTTTGAGACAACATTTTCTGTAGGTTGGTACAACATAAATAAACTGAACTGAACTGATAAAACTTCAGCTTTCCTCATATTCAGTTCATTTTAGTTCAAAAATACAAAAGGAAAACAAATTAAATGTAAAAACTCAATCTTCCAAATGCCAGTTGCTCACAGATGTAAAAATAACATTTTGCTGACATCATAACTGTCCAAAATATATATATAAAAAAAAAAAAATTAAAAAACAGCAAAAAACCTTCCAGCTGCATAGCATGTAAAACCAGAGGAAATTATTGTCCACACACACACACACACACACACAAACGACTCGACCAAAAAACAAAGATAAATCAGATCTAACTTTTTCCAACCTGCTGCCACCATGAGCGACGCAGTTCTACAGTATACTAAAGAATGGTTTATGATAATTAACAGCCCACATGCATTCAAAGCTTTGCATTTATACAATCCGACAACTAAAAGTCTCAACAAAACTAGTTTCAGATTTATTAACGACAACAGCAACAAGTTTAATCATCCATGTTAAAGGTTCCTCAGGGCAGCCAGGCAAAACTTCAAAGAACTTTTTCTTCTTTTTTCTCTACTTACAGGTCGGCTTAATTAACCTGTAATTTGCCTCGATCACAGATTCCTTTTGTTCCTCATCTTCATGCTGAAATAAAAACTAATGCTTGGTAAGGACAGAATTTTCTGATTACTATAAACAGGAACAAAACTATAATGGTTTTATAGATACTACTCAGACTTTTGTACAGTTTATGTTGGACAGTTTATGGTGACTTAGTCACCTATAAAAAAACAAAAACAAGATCAGTTCTATAATTTCTTTGCAGTTTGTTGCAAACTGTGAAAGAATCTACAATTTCAAAAACAGTTCTGCTTCTTCTGTGGGGTATAAGTAGTTTATGCCAAACTGTGGCTTTTTGCTGGAACTTCCTGATAATGATCAAATGAAGTGAAATAAATTTTATATTAATAGACTTTTGGTTGTTTCAAAAGCAAATACACTTCACTTACCTCAAAAATATTGACCATTCCCTGTTAAGCTGGCATCAATAAATACACTTCTTCTGCTTCAAAATGAATTCAAAATGAGCATTTCCTGTTGAAATTATTCAGAAATTTAACAATATTTGTGTTGTTCTACTTGTTTTCTTCCAACATAAATTCATGTTTATATATTTACTGAGGTACATAGCATATTTTAAACATTTTCAAAGTCATTCACAGCATTTACTGAGATTTCTGCATGTTGAATCAAATGTTTAAACCATAAAAGTCACATTCCAATATGGTAAAATATGCCAAATCTATAGCAGTTCTGTGTTTTAGGTAGGCTGGATCACATGTACTGATATAAGAATGTTTATTTCATAGATTTGAGACTTATTCTGAAATTGGAAAAAAAAAAAAAAAACTTTTCAGACATATTTGTACCAGGAGGAAATAATGGCAGCTTTCATTTTGCACTAAAAGAATTTGTAATTAACAGAGTAGCTAACAAAATTCAAAGCAGAAACCTTGGACTCTATGCATAACTTTCAGTAATTCCACTGTTAGCTGAAGCAATCAGGACACTGCAGACATGCACAATGCAGATATTTCAGCAGGAACTTCATCAGGGTTTCATCAGTACCCTTTGCTCCTCTAGGGTAAAAGTGTAACATCCTTCAACCCCTTCTGTTTCCATGTAAAAGAGGCCAGATGGGGAAAAAAGGAGGAGGAAGAAAGTCAGAAGGTGGAATACATGAGATACTTTGTAAATAAAAGAAAAAAAAATCCACTGATGGTTTAACAAAAGGACAATACATGAAATCAGTCCTGCAGGCAGCAGTCGGTGTTTTCTCAACTGAAGATGGATTGTTCTTACTGGCTGCTGAGGCTCCTGTCCAGCCAAGACTGCACTGGTGTTCATCCTAGTCTTCAAAGATACAGGTTTTATCCATCGACGCAAAACGTAATAAAATCATTGAACACGTTTTGGCTGTGAGTCTGAAGAGGTAAATAAAAGTTTTTTTTAATTTATTGACCAAAGTTTCTATTTAAATGCATGTAGGACCGACATGTCAGTAGAAGTTTAGGATTAGATTAGGATGGACACTAAACAGTTTGTGATATTTTATCACATTATGTGATGCATTACTACATTATCATTTCTATTTTTATTATTATATAAAAATGGTGAACTTCTGCATTTTGTAATAATTTGCACAAAATGTAATAATGCTATTAGCACAATTAATCATGGGGTACCACAGGGTTTAGTGCTTGGGCGACCCATTTATTACATTTTGTGTTGATTATTACATACTACTGTTTTAAAAATGTAGTCTTGCATATTAAAACCCGACTTTATGACATTGTTATATCCTGTAACGTTATCACATAATGTGGCATCACAAGTTGAGACAATGTTGGCATCGCAGCCCTCTTAACACTTGTTTTCTTTTTCTTAAGTTTACTTTTGGTAAACTTGTGGGATATAAGTAAATAAATATTTTTGACAAATTATGGTCAGAAAAGACAAACAGGTTGGTTTTACAGTTTGGAAAGAAAAATACTACAGTCAGTTAAATGATATGAACGGTTTAATGAGCTCATCTCAGACGTATGACACGTTAAAGTTGATTCCAGGATTACCTGAGCGTGCTCCCATGTTGTTGGAACAATACAAAACCATGCAACTCAAAAGCAAAAATCATCTCTTCTCTCAGATCAAGTTCAAAACATGATTCCTACACACTGCATTCAGCGCACATATCTGATTTTTTTTTCCCTTCTTCCTTTCATGACTTCAGAAGCAGCAGAGGTTTGGACGTGAACTGACTCCTCGATTTGGCAGATGGAGGAGTGACCCTGAACGAATCCCTGCACCACCAAGCAAACACACGCAGTCATTTTAAAGCTTCCCTGCAGCAGAGCAGTGCAGTGCTGGAACACATAATACTGTAGATAAATAGCATAATAAAAGTTTATGGACAAGGCATGCTAAAAGCAAATCATTTCTCTTCTTAGTCCAAGCAGGAGCAAACCAAAAGCTACTCGTAGTGGCTAGAAAAAGTCTCCATGGAATACTACTTTTCTTCTTCTTTCTCTCGCTCTTCATCCATGGTTGACCAGCAGGTTCTACGGGAGAAAATGGGGGGAAAAAGAAAGTTAGAATTGTTGCAACCCTACAACACCATCTGACCTTTAAGATGCTCTCAGGGGGAATGGCTGTGACTTTTCTATTCACACTTTTCCACCTTTAACCGGCCACATCTGAAAGGTCAGATTTAGTAAAGGTAGAGATTATCTCAGTAATGGAGAGAAGGAATCCTCACTGACCCTTCAGTCCATTTTAAAATCACAACTCAGAGGAAATGTTTTACAGTCCAAGTACTCAGACTTTCCTACATGTTTTCAATTTGCTCTATTTTAATGGAGTTTTATATGATAGACAAACAAGAGTTTTAATTCATTTATCCTGAAATGCAATACAATGAATTCCAGCTGAGTCTGCAGACAAACTCATAAAAGAAAATAATAACCATAATCAAACCTTATTATATTTATTCAGCAACTAATTTTTAAACATTTTTAAAGAAATTTTCAAAGTTGAAAAACAGTTTTAACTGTTAACACCATGTACTAACTAGTGACGGTCTATATCCAAAAATCCCAACAGAAACCAATAATATCTCTGGCTGTAAAGGGGAAAAAAGTTTTGCAAGGTGGTGCCTTTAAAATGAAATGGATGTAAAGTCTAAAAGTAACACCTACTATTACAACTTGTTCACTTTAACATAATCCAACTCCTTCCATCAAAACGACCAGGATCTCTGAAAAGAATGATGACTTTGTTCAAAAATGGCAAAGTGATTCTGAGAAAAGCTTTCTAGATAAGAAGCCGGTGTGACAGGTGTAGCACCATGGAAACATTCAACCATACAAACTTTAGGAGCAGCCTATCAAAATGTTGAACTGGAGTTGGATGATGTATTTTTAGAGCAGTGATTTATTCAGAAGGAAAAAGAGTTTGAGAATATGAGGAAAAAGTTGGTTTCTAGAGGCTGGCAGGCTGTCAATGGGAACGTCTCTTTATATCTATAGATCCATATAAATTAGATGGAGGCTTTGAATAGAAACAATGTTTAACATGACGGTTCATTGTTATGGTGGAAGATCTCAGTAAAGAAAAAAATTTCCAGCAGAGAAAAGCAGCAAATGATGAAGCAGACAGGTTGCAGATTTTCACTTTGCCTCTGGTATTTTTCACACATAGATGATATTCTGTCAGGTATATTATCAGGTTTAACACACATTATGACAGCTGCTCCCGTATTAAAACAAACATACGTTGAATAAATACAGTCGTATTAAGGAAGACCGGGCTCAGAGTCAAATTTACGTTTTGCTGTTTTCATTAGACACTTTTTTTCAACTGGTGTGAAAAACAATCACTGATTGACCAAGTTATTATTACTAATTTTGATATTCAAAGCAAAAATATTTGCACTTCTATTTCCTCTCAAAGTCAAATTCCAATAACTGATACTTGATCAAAATAGATTTGGTTTTTGATTATGTTTTCTGAAGGCCAAAAGTAGCACAATTCATCAACACATACAGTACCTGCACAAATGTAAACATTTAAAAATGGAGGTACATTTAACAAATACTGTACATCCATATACTAATAAATATGAAATTTGAAAAATTGCATATTATATACTAAATGTCTATGAAAATATGTGAGTATTTAATTTGTTCATTAGATTTTATAGTCCTTTGGTTGAAACATTAATTAATTTTCAGCTTTGTTCAAAGTCAGTGGGCGGGGCTAACCCTGCTGTGTTAGTTTTCAGTTGAGTTGATGAGCAGCCAATCAGATGTTGGGATCTATTTGACTAACTACGCCATAATATATAGGAGAACGGCAAACATTTCAGGGTTTCCCCCAGAAAACTTGCTAAGCCCGGTGGTCGGGGCGTCGAGGCGGTCCACCGTGTTTTGTATTAAAAGATGTTAAGTTGACAAGAAATGTAAAAGTATTACTGTATAATTTATATGTTACAGGAAAAGATCTCCAG